GACATCCGTATGACACATTGACCTTCGGAATCAACGGCTCGATTGCTACTAAACTTAATAATCTTTTATTCTCATTCTCTATCAATGAATCGCTCATTATGTATAGAAAACGTAGATAAACATTTTAAGAGGGGGTAGCTTGCTAGTTGCGAATATTTTTACACCAAAGTGCAGTATGTTTAGAATACTCATTAACGCACAAGAAGCGAACGACTTTAAAAAAAGACAGAGTTTCTCCTTACGCGGGACACACCTGGTCGCCAACTAACAGGTGAGAATTCTGGTCTGTATTAGTCAGCACCCTGTACCGTGTGTGTGTATGTGTGTGTGTGTCCCCCTTCACTTTCCGCCCCCGCTTCTACGCTGGAGGCAGGATAAAAGAGAGATGGAAGACTGAGCAATGCTAAGGCAAAAGGTGTTTTTGTCTGGCATCTTCGGAAAATTTTATCTCCACTCTGAGTTAATTTAAGCCGACAGGATGATGGATTGCCAGCGGTACGTTGGCAACAACAAGACCGGGAGTTTTTGCTGGGCATGCGTATCAATCATCAGGCTGCCAGGCAGTGGAGGGTCCAGGCCTCTGTTGTCTCCCTTCTCCGCTTGTCTCTGTCGACCCCCCCTTCGTTCCACCTCCACCGGTCCTTCTGACTTAATCTTTGGAAATGAAAAAGACAGATCGGAGCATATTGCTCGATGATCGCTCTGGAGAACATGATAAATTATTTCGAAGAATTTATTTCATACAGCTTTAATTTCCCTGTATGGTATGATGCGACACTGTCTGACAGTGAAGTTCTTGCCTCTAGCTGAGGTTACTAGCTATCTCGACGTACCCCTCCCTTTCTCACAACCATTCCCACGATAACTTCTCTATAGTTCCAGAAGAGATTAAGGGAATTGAATCTTCTTAATGACACCTTGGTCGATGAACTTAACGTAGCTACTTTGCCGGCAACACTACTTTTTTCGTTGTTAAAGCGTAGAAATCTTCTCTACTCCCCTAAAAATGTTTTATTTAAAATACTTAAGATAATTTTATTTAGTTGAATTCCGTTTATAGAATTATTAAGCCGATTTTTAGCGAATTATATGAATATTTCATACAGACACAATCTAGAATGCTTCTGATATGGTTCTTAATGATGCATTAGCATAAATTAAAAATTTTTGAAATATATTGTGAAAATTATATAATGATAATTGTAGTTTATAATGTAGTTAGTTACGTACATAAAGCTTTTATTATTGTAATACTAATTAAATGCAAAAGTTGTGAAATCACGCGAAATTTTCATTTTCCTAACCAACTTGAACAATGATGATGATGATGATTTCTTCTCCTCCTTCATTATCCAAATATTTTTCGAAATCTACATAATTATTGAATTGTGGAAATTTTGTATTTAAATGATAAATTACATCTTAACAATCTTTGTACATGTTTGCCTAATTTTAAAGTGAAAAGTTACATTTCTGTCAAACCAAACCATCTTATCGGGTTGTATGAATATATAAACGCTTCGCATTATCGGCATTAATGTTAATTAGTTCTTTCGCTTATTAAAATATTATCATAAATTTATCCAACTGGTTTATGTATAGTTTAAACTTATTTTTCTATTAAATAACTCTTAGAAAACAATCATTTTAAAATATTTATTTGATATATTAACACCAAGAGCCGCATCAGTGGAGCAATTTGATGTACTTTCAGCAACCTGTCCTCAAGTTTTTATTATTAGCAGGCAAGTTTTTAGTCGATAGAAGGTAGATTTCGTCAGTAACCGCTCTCTCTTACTTTTCCCTTGACACAAACTACGTTAGAAAGCTAAGATGCCTTGGCATATCGGACGAGAAAAACGAAAACATTCCAGAACCTTGACAGCCGAGGTATGCAAGAGAGTTCTTTAATATTTGCAAACCAAACAACGTTCCTTCTTCGTTGATGTACGGTCCTTTACAAATGAGACCAAATTAACGACTGCTAATAGGTTGAAGGCCCGGAGGCTGAACTCTGCCTTACTGAATCACCGACTGACTACGAGGACACGTAATTTGTGCCAACATTTTAATGAAACGTTCTCTCTTCGTTCCACCCCCACTCCCCTATCCCCCCTTCCCTCTATCTACCCATGCGAGTAAAGTCTGTGCTCTACATCTTTACCCCACTATGATTAATGAAAATCTCTCTCCAAATGCAATTTTAAGCATTCTTTAAACTGCAGTAGCTTACCCCCTTCTCTTTTAATTTGTGACATTGCCGGTTGTAGCGTTGTGTCGCGAACTGTTTGCTCACAATCAGCTTCACCTCCCCTTTCCCAAGCGGAGATGAAAAACAAATAAAAGGCTGAATGTGAGCAATCAAAGCATCCGTAGAGCATTCTAAATTGTTGTGTCTCTCTTCCAATGTGGGTTTTTCGCACCTCGCACTCTACCCCTCACCATTTTCATGCGCTTCTAACACATACATTTGATGAAGTAGAATGAAGCCTTCTGGAAAGATAAATATTATTAGAATAGCTACAATGAAGCACACGGTTTGTTTCAATTTCCAATTTTTTTTTATATTAGCATTTCTTTTTTCTAATTAACCAACCGATTTTTTTTAAATCATTCGATTCTTAATGCTGTCAACCGCTTGCCTAAAACAAATATTAAGATTTATGAGTTTAAAAAAAGATGAAAAATAATCATTTTCACATCTTCAACTTGTTTAAAAAAATTAAAAATTATTATTCAACTATCATAAAACTATATAAAATAATAAAATTTAAGATCGTAAACTAAATTAGTCACTTTTTTCCTAGAAAAAAATGCACTCGAGTTTCGTGTAAACATTCCTTTCTTTCTATCTTCTTTTAGATTTTTTCTTATAATTTTATTCATTTAAACTTAAACAATTTATTTAGTTAATGTCTAACCAAACACAATTAAATTAAAATGCAATGCTATTTTTTAAAAAATAATCTGAAACAAAATAGTTGCAATTGGAGTTTATCAAAGAATCATTCTGAAACTGTTTTCATGTCTCATTACAGAAGACAATGGAACATTTTAAGTTACATTTGTACTAAGAGTAAAGCAGTTGCTAGTGTCTTTATCATCAAAGTCGTTCCCAATTAAAATTTAATTTCATTATTTCAACTAATTAGGAATAAACACACCTCATTTAAAGTCGACACGAAGGTAAATTTACTTCCTCTCTCTTGCACAAATAGAGGATGAGAATTGACTGTTGCAACTCCACACCTAATGACGAATGAAGCTAGACGTGTAACGAGCTCCTTTTATTGTTATTATTATGTACTTTAATCTTTCTACAATTAAAAAAATATATGTATATATACTATAATTAACAATAACTGCAATTTAACAGCAAGAATAATTGTTGATTCTTAATCTATCTGGAAACTAATTATAGCTCAACTATGCTTCACTTAGTGGAAACTATTGTTTTCTTCTTAATTAAATTTCTTTATCTCTTTAGTATGTATTATTATTGTATTCTTTAAGCATTTAAACTTAAAAATACTTAAAAATAAACAAAATTTTAGAGAGAAAAATAATAATTCTTCGACACTCTGCATCCTGGAGTTTTTTTTTTTTTGGTATCAAGTGATGCTTAGACGCAGTAGTTAAGCTTCGATTAATGGAATTTATTAATTAATTATAAAAGTAATTTATTGATATTTTTATGTTATTTAATCTTTAAAATTAATTTTTAAAAAAAAAAAAACATTAATGATAATCAGAATTTTTCATTTTCTTTCTCGAACTGATGAGTTGCATTTCGAGTCGATTAATCTTTCTTTAATCGCGTATTTGATTGTTTAATTAAGGTTTTGGTTTGTTGTCGTTTTTAAGTATTTTAATTTTATAAAATTAATAAAATGCAATTAATACTCAGAAGAATTTAAGGAAAAGAAATGATAATTTGGACATTGCTGTAAAATGGATTGCATTCTAAGCATGCTTCAATTAATTGTGTTTATTATCTTTTTAATTACGTTTCAATGTTTGTTTGAAAGTTTTATGATTTAGTTGAGGCTTCTAAAAATAAATAAAAAGCATAATTAATGATAAACATACTCTTTAAACATAAAGAACAGGTCTATCTCCAGAAATTTATACTTCTCTACATGCATTAAAGTGTTTAGTTATATTTCGTCATAGATTTTTGTCATGATTTATATAAATTTTCAAAAAAAAACTGCAAAAATGAAGTTTTTCTACTTGTAAATTTAGAAAAAAGTTGGGTTTTCTGCTGTTCAAACCACCGAACTTCATGGGTTTGAAACACCACGACTTAACTAAGCTTCACTTAATGGAGTGTATTATCTTCTTAATTAAGTTTCGACACTACTTTATACAATAAACAGGCGATGGATGATTTGTAAAATGTTTAAAGCATACGAGAAGATGAGCGAGTGAGAGGGGTTATCCTATAATTTTACAGGTCTAAAGCTAGAGTACACATGTGATCAGAATGACAAGACTTTTCCAATAGAGCCAGCATTAATATCAAAGGCGAATACATTAAAGTATTGGCAAGTGAGTACGATCCGACAAGAGCAGTATTATAGTCTGCTTAAACAAATCTAGCATGGATTACTGTCCCATAATATCGGATTTACTGCAAAGACGTTAGAAAGATAGAGAAGACGTGTCAGATTTAGTCAGGGATACTAAACGCTATCATTACTCAAACCGACTTAGAATGGTGTCGAGATAGTTTGCTACCTTTAACACTTATTCATTGCTCGTTTTAATAGACTGTAGAGATTGCTAGCTTTAATTAATGAGATGAGAGTGAAGCGGAATTATGTTTTTATGGCTTCAAATAAGTGATCGAATAGGAAGATGTATGATCGAAGATAATAAGCTAAGAATAAATTTATTAAATTACTGACTAAGATACTAACTCTGTGTAGTTTTTTAAAAGTCTTTCTTCTTTATTTGACGTATTGTAAACACTCTTTTATGTTAATTTTTGTTTACAGGTTAAGAGAAGAAAGATCGGATGTTGCGGAAACAAAAGATCGACTTTATGGATTCGATAGTCATCGTATGAAAGATCCTTCTTTCTTAAATGGTAAATATTAAACATACGAATCCTAATGGATGAATAGGAACTACATTAATTATGTAGTATTTTTATTAATGGAAGGATTTTTATCGGTCCTTCAAAGTCACATCTCATCAAACACTTTTCTGTTCGTTAATGGATTGAATTCGAAAGTAAATATTTACATTTTAGCTTTGATTTTGGCTTTTTTTTTGAATGAATTTTTTATCATTTGATTTACTGCTGGTTATTTAAATTTTATTTTGACGAATTTAATGGTAAATTTCTATTTTTTTATGATTTGCATGATCATTTTTTAAATTTAAATAATAAAGGAAGGTATCCCACTAAATTTTTTTGTTTATTAAAATTGCATGTTGGAATTATTTTCTTATATTTAGTAGTGGGAACCTTAGGCATTATCTAATTCGTGTTCTCTTGTCTGGTGGCCTACATAGGCTACTTCTGGCTTCTTGCAGGAGCCTCTGCCAACGGTCACAGTCCTGTCCTTAATCTATCTCAAAACAGCAGTAGAGGGGGTCTAGGTGCGGGCGGTGGCACAAGCAACGGTGGTGGAGATCACAGTGGAAGCGATACTGCTTATAACGACGGGCCAGATGATGACGATAACGATAGCGAAGACGATGACGAAGACGACAGGGAGCAAGGTTAGAATTCCATTTCACTGTATAAACACTTTAATAAACTTAGCTTATTCTAATTTATCATTTTAAAGTAGCCAGATATTTATAACTTCCCTTTCTTATACCTAACTTGTCAAGTAAACTTGAAATGAAACAGATGTAATTATCGCATTAAAAACTGTATTTTTAGAATATTTATGTATATATATATATATATATTCTGATATTCTTTGCGTAATTTATTATTTTTAACTTTTTGTATTTATTTTTTTGAAGAAGTACGTTACGCTCTAGTAGGGAGGAGAGTGTTTTAATTAGTTAGTTTAGCGTGAACCATATCAAAGAGCATCCATCTGTACGACTCATTCGAGTTTCTTTCTATTAATTTTTGTATAAAGTCATTAAAAAATATGAGATTTATCGATAGGAAAGAGAACCTAAAGACTTTTCAGTACATTAGACAGATCCATATCGGGTGGCAGAGTGACAGTAGAATGTCAACACAGATGACGAGGGGACGAATACCTCTCCTAGTCTTCTGCAACAGGCAGAAAAACCCCGACGACAGCGCAAGAAAGGGAGGGTAAAACCTAATTGCCCGTTAAGCAGACTTGTTAACAGCTTCGACTTTCCCCCCACCCTTACTACTATACTCCACACTCTTTTTCACCAAGTGCTTCCGACTGTAGTAGAAAAGAGGAGCGAGAGAACACATTAAATGACTAAATCACCCCCAACATGCAATGAACTGTTTTGCAGGATAACGTTGTAAGAGCGTAGAGGGTTTATTCCGTGCCACAAAATTCCAACTGATACTGTACTAGAATAACCCGTGAAGTAAGCAGTATTATTAAGTACAGGAGGAAAAAAAAATTGATAGGGAACTATCTAATTAGATTAAAGACGAGTTCAAATAATTACTAGATACAATTGAGTTTTATCTACATAGGTATATAGTCTGGAATAAGAAAAGCGGAGGCGTCTGGATTGTGTTAAGATAGCCAATTTATGTACTTCTACTCATACTTTGAGGTTTCTAATGATGTGGTTCTCGTATCTTTCCACTCTACGGATGAAATCATTCAATTTATGTCGAGTATGGGAATTTTAATTTAGATTTGCCTTCATACAAAGAGACGGGGTTGAAAAAAAATAATAATAATAAAGAGAGGAAGAGCGTGATGGGGGTGCAAACTTACCTTTTCTTTTATTGAGTGGAAGAGAATTGTAAACGTCTAATCGCCTTTATTCGTAATTTATCTGAGCATATGTACTTCTTATTTAATAATACGCTAGTTAATTTTTATTAAAAAAAACAACATATTTAATGGTTTTTTTATACTTTCCAAACGTCGTTTGTATGAAAGAAACACTGTGTTAGTTTTTTTTCTTGTGAATAGAAGTCTTTATACGTGTTTTTACGATTATTATTGATTGAAAAAAGGGCATTTTTCCTGGACAGATCTGAGTGACAATCCAGATGTCAGCAGCACAGCAAACACAGATCGGTTGTCGAGTCAACAATTACCGTTCCCTAACGTTGTGGGTGACAGTGGTACTGTATCTGGACAGGGATCGTCTTCCATCGAGACTCTGTTAAGAAATATCCAAGGTCTACTAAAAGTTGCTGCTGATAATGCAAGACAACAAGAAAGACAAATTAATTTAGAAAAAGGTGAGTTTTATTCATCGTTTTTACAAACTTTTACACCCAAAAACTTAAATAGAACTTAAAAAATGAGGTAAAATATTTCATTATCTTTTCTTCTTTCTAGAAAATGAATAAGATATTCTCATTTTGGATAATTATTAAAGACAATCTTGCTTAAATTTCGAGATAATTCTGTATCCTATTGTCTTTTCTTGTTCGGCTAATTGAAAAATTCATTTTATCTTCTTTCGAGAAATTGTATTAATTATAAATAATTGTACGAAATACTTTTTGTTGGATAATTGTTGGAAATAATTATAATATACTTTAAATAAATTGAAAAAAAAAAGATATCTTCTTTTCATATTTGGATAATTGATTATCTTCGTGGTTTAAAATAATGATAAAAGCATTATTATTTTACTAGGATAATTATATTTTCGTATCAGGAAAATTGTAAAATGTCTTATCTTGTTTTATCTAGAAATTACAACAATATATTATAATTTTTCTGGATAATTGTCTCTTTCTTTCTGTATAATTTAAACATTTATAATCATTTTTATATGTGAAAAATTAAAAAAATATATGATCTTTCCTATCTAAACAATCGCATATTTCTTAAATAATTGTGCAAAAAAATGCAATTAATTCGGATATTTGTGAAAATAATTAACCTTTTCTTTAGTACAAAACTAGAAAAATTTGCATGGATTTTGTTTTTTAAATTACAGAAATTAAAATATAAAAAAAATCACTTTAGAATATTTAAAAGATAGCAAATTCAACAGATCAACAAGAGGAAGAGAGAGTGAGATATTAAAAAAATACTTCAGAATGTCGTAACATATCAAAACCTATAAACGTTTGGGAATAATAGAAGGATGTTTTTTAGCCAAACTACCCGTTGGTGGCTCCAAAAATAAAAAAAATATAAAAAAAATTGGCAACTGAGAGAGAAAGAGGGTGCTATTGTTATCAGTAAGTTAACGATGTTCTGCATGTCGGCCACAAGAGGAGAAAAGCATGTAACGAAAAAGATATCAGATAGAAGTTGTAGTAGATGCTTTGGGAGGGTGAGAGAAGTGGGGGTGTAGTAGGGGGTGAGGAGCGGTTGATGGAGCCCATAGAGGGCGCCGCACAGGTGCCCGTTACGACTTCGACTCTCTATAGATGGGAAAACGTTGGAAATCACATCATCACTGCCTTTAGTTTCGCACGCTTTGAATCGCGGCGAAACACTTGCCCCGTAAATCCAATAAAAACGTCAAAATGAAATATGCCTCAAACTATATAGATAAAGAGTTGGTACTGGTTACAATACTTTAGTCCCCCTTCCATCGTTTGCCCCCCTGTATCGCTTAATTAAGAATGGAAGTTTTGTATGGCTGCGAGTCAGTGCTTTTGCTACAGATGATTAAATTACGACTAGTCTCGGTTTTATGAGTAGTAATATATACGTTTCTCCAACCCCTCAGTTTAGTGGCGAACTGTGAGGCATGGTAGAGGTAATGTTATCTGTCCATTACGGTGCTAGTGTCGAGATATAATGGTCTTAAGTGAACAAAGGAAGATGAGGAAGACTTTGCAGCTATGCCCGGTAAATCATTAACAAGTACCAACTTCGCGTGTGATGTGCATGCCCTGAAAGGAGCCGATAAGGAGGTAATCGCCTTGTAGGCGTCTGTAAACAGTTCGTCCTTCTCTGCCACACTCGGGAGGTCGCCCCACGGGAGTGCAAAATATGGTTATTTGTTTAGAATCTTTTCAAACAATTGAGATTTCTAAATCTCTTTCAACCTAATCGACCAATTCTGACAATTCTTACTACTTACAACCTCTATTTTTTACCGCTTAAATCTTTGTAAATGAGCTCGATTTTTAGATGTTAAACGTGGAATTTTCATTAAAGATACATCAATTCTCTTCATCTAAGAATTTCATTCCGTACTGTACAGTACGTGCCCCTTCTGCCATTTTTTCTAAACACTGATTTACCAAGCTAATAGACTGCCTAATTTTTGCCATTTTCACTAAATCGACATCGTAACAATCACCATTTTGACTAATCGATATATCAATATCTAGCTGATAATACACCTCGCGCGGCTGACTTTTACACAAGTCCACTCCTGTGTTTGACGCTTATAAAAATTTATAATATAAAATATAATATTCCGTAACATCTATATTCTTAAACAGAATTAAAAATTTTCCTAAACTAAGTTCGTATTCAACTTCCAAACATAGTTGTTGTTCTTATAAGAAAACGTCCTGAACACAGATTCTAAATTGTTTAATGATTTTCTAAGTATAATTTGAAAATTGTGTACTCTTGAACACATATTCTAAATCTATTCACTGTATATATAGACATGTGTTGAATACAACTTTTATGCATTGAGTTAAGAAAAAATTGCATTTAATAAGTTAACGATTTAGATATTAATAAATCTAAAGAAATTAATCATAAAACAAAATTAAAAGATAGGAAATATATCATTAGTTATTTTTTCTTAATACCTTTTCGTAATGTTTTAAGTTCAATAAGGCAAAAGGTTGTAATTTTTATATCCGGAGTCAAACAGCAAGAGCCAAAGAGAAATAGTTTTGACAGAATCAACCAAAGCGTAAACAATGAAGTAAAATTGGTTGTCAGAAAATGATTAATAGCAAGTTTTATTTATCGATTTGGGAGGATTTTTTCAACTTCTTTCTCTCTCACAGACTCACTCTCTCTTACATATATACATACATACATACGCTTTGAAAGATTCTATATGGTTTTCAATAGGAGACGAATGATTCAACTGAGTTATTTATGTTAGAAAAATATTAATTTCAAAAAAAAAGAATTCACAAAATAATAAATATTAAATATGATAATTTAAGAACTTGTTAAATTAAGACATCGGAAGATAAAGTGGAAAGTAAGCAATTATCTTTGTTTACTTAAAAAGATAGAATCCAAAGGGTTGGGTGCAACTTCATAAATTGTGGACTCGTGCCTCTCTAGTCGTGTCTCAATTCTTTCTTATAAAATGTTGTAATTATGATTTTTAGAGAAAAATGGCTTATTCGTGATAACGATAGTAGAGTAATGCTTACGATAGTAGCTAAGAATTCGTGAAGGGGAACCTGATTTATAAAGGGATAACCAACTTTCAACATGGTTCATGGATCACGAGTTAAGAGTAACAATATCTCAATCAAATATGGTGTTAAAAGTTTCTTGTTAAGCAATCACGACCTTATGAATTTTTTATCACAAAGAAAAATCTATAATAAAATAGTTTTTTTATTTACTTAAATAGAAAAAAATCATAAAAATTACGAGCGAAAAAATGATTCGTTTTATTATAAAATGGAGTCTAGTTTTAAGTTTAAAACTAAATAGACTTAATTACGCTTACATCTATATACGAGGAAGACAAATGGGATGAATATATTAGTTAGGATCGTAACTAACAGGTGTTGGGCCACTCGATGTTACGATAATGTATGTGATAAAGGTCGAAATGTCCACTCGAGTAGCATATATCAAGCTCCCAGCCGGACAGCAGATATTGGTGAGTGGATGTGGCACTTAACTGACACCTGTTCTGCTTTCGTACCTGTCCACGAGGCCACGACGAGCCGACCATATGATCTGCTGCTCACAATGGCGCAGGTCATTAATCATGGCTGGTGCGAGATGTTGTCTCCGACTCTATAGCTGGACATGACTCTCGGCTCGAGTGAATGGTTATTTTTGGAGGTTGATAATGGAATCCTATCTAATCTCTAGAGGAAATGTGCTGTTTTTTCCGATAGGCAATCTTTCTATTAACAGTTTGATGCCAGAATTTTTTTAACTCTCGATATGATAGCTTCCAATTTCGTATATTACTCCAAGAACTTCTTTACTTTTTAATACTGCTTTTGTTCGAGGCTGATAATACTCTTTCCTTTTCTAACTTTCCTCGTCTCTAAGAACGTTTGCTTATTTTAATTTTATCTTTAAGCAGCTCATTCCTTACAATATTTTTGTCATCTTCTATATTACTTGCTTAATTTCATTTTTATTTATGATACTAACCTTTATAATATTTAATTAGTTAAATTTTCATTTTTATATGATTCTTCTTACTTAAAAAGTATTTCCAAGATAAGTCGTTTCTGATTTTCTGCCGTCAAATCTCTTAAAACATTGATTTATTTTAGGCTTCATTCTTCTAACTTTTGACTGTTCGAACTAGTTATTAGGAATATTTAATAATTAAATCTTTCTTTAATTCTACTCTTACACATCTAAACCTTTAAGTAATTCTTAAATGTTCCTAACAATTTACATTTTGTATTCCTCTGCATCTTCTCTGCTGTACAGTATCTCTTTCTTATACAGTTTATCTCGTAAATTATTCGTTTTCTCTTATTCTTATCTATGAAATACTAGGAAGTGCAAGCCACTCTTTAAAAACTGAGACTCGACTTTTACACACTCTTTTGCTATTGACAGATAACACACTTCATCCCAACTCTCAGCCGATCTCTAGGAAACATTCAGTTAGTGTAATTCTCTTCCATGCTTTCTCTCCTTATATAAATTACATAGGTATATATCTGTCCAATTTCCATTTCTAATGGTAAATGAATGGTTTGTATCAATGAATATTAATGTCTGTATGGTGGTGTTATCTAGCCAAGCCAGCTGCTGTTGAACAAAGTAACAGGCACGTCTGTGGTATTCCTTTGTTGATTCTTCGCCTGACACACTAGTGCATCATCCTGTCAACGGAAATCTACCATTGTCCCGTTTGAGATGAGCAAATATTATCCGTTTTCTCTCTCAACAGCTAGTTTATTTAACAGAAGGCTTAAAATCTACCGACTTTCAAGCACATCCCGATCATTTTGATGGAAAATAGAAAACTCCCCTATTCATATACTTTCCTTACAAACAGATGCGTAATTACTGTTCTCTTTGCAAATGTGGAGAAGATATCTGAATTGTATTCTTTGTTCTGTTGACACATTAAAGGCGATTTCTCTTTCCTTTTAAACAGAACTTTCGCTAAATGATACTTGTATACTGTTCAGATGTTAATGAAGGTTTATCACACCACAAATGAGAGAAAGGAATAAAAGTTGAATTATACTCTTTGTTTGAAGACTTTATATATAAGGATTTCCGAATGAAACTTGAAATGGTTCAATATTGAATATATTAAGTCAGATTCTTGTTTAATATCTGCTCCTCATCAGCCCATAAATTTTAATTATTTTCCTACAGCTGAACTGAAGATGGAGATCATGAGAGAAAGAGAATTGAGAGAAAATATGGAAAAGCAGCTATTAGAAGAACAACGAACAAGAAGTAAGTTTGTGTTTTTTAAAACACTTTTCTCGTCTCGTATCATAAAAATTTTCTTAATAAAATACTTAAAATGCCATAAAATTATTGAAGCATTTGATAATAATCAATATTTCTTATTAATTGACTTGAACGCGTGAGATTTTATTTAATATCATTACATGTATGACGAGGAAGGATTCTTTGCTATGCATGGTACACTGCAGGGAAGTATGATTTACAGGTAGCCCATTCTTAGAAAAGCTCTACTTCAATCCGATGTTAGAAGTCATCTTCTCATCTGCTATTCCCTTAGGAGTAATTAAATTTTATCTCCTAACTATACGTCTTTTAATTGCCTGAGTTTCGTTTAAATACTCAAGAGGATGTTGATAAGAGATGTTAGCTAGAATCGCGTTTCATTGATAGATATCCGGGCACACATCCTGTTGAAAGTCAAAGAGTGTAGGGGCTTAAAAGTCCAGAAATTCAAAACGATTCGTGAAAAGGAACCTCCCTCTCTTATCCGGAGAATTTAAAGAATGTGAAGTGTAGCTCCTAACTTTTACTGACCGGGAGGAGTGGGTGACGTCATTTCCGGAACATCCGTCACGTGATCGCCAGGTAATTGAAGTCCAGAACAGTGGAAGGTGGTAGTTTTTTTCCCACTTCCCGTCCAAAGTCGACATTTTTGGTGTCCCGGGGCCAAATAAAACTTCAGATAGGAATTTTACAAATTCTCTCAAACGTTCCCAAACGACAGCGAAAACGAAGAAAGGCGAAAGATTAATTGTTTCTCTTCGTCTCCGATCACAAGCATAGAGTTATCCTTGATCCCTTCGGGGTAGAGTCCACACATACCCCCCGTTTTACCGAGAGAGAACGTAGCTTTAGCGAAATGTTTGTAGGGGGATGGGAGTACTGAAGTAAAAGGTATTCTCCCCTTAATATCTGGAGGCAGACTTTTCTCAAAAGATGGATCGAAATTTAAGCGATTTGCAAATATCTGTAGGGTTTCGCTCCGCTAGGCAGAAAAACTCCTGCCTTTTCGGAAGGTGGGGGAGGGTCTTGCGTGATAAATGACAAGACGGAGAAGCGGTCGATCCAGTCGCTGCTTCACTCTAGCAATTCCTCCCAGTCCGCTACATATGGTGCAAACATTGTTCACTTGACTTGTCGTCAGTTTTCACGCGAGTTCTTTTTTTTCCTGCTTCCCCTTCTCTCTCTCTCTCGCTGCTCTTTTTCTTTTTCTTTTCGCTCCTTTTCCGGCTTTCCACTGACACCTTCTTTCCACTGACTATCTGCAGAGAACCATCATCAAATCAGTCGTGAAATTGCAGAATTCGGTTTTCCAGCTTCGTGGAGAGACAGTAACTTTCGTTGCTTCTCTCTTTAACTTCAGTTGTTCGCCGTTTCGACAACAGGTTGAAGAGAAAATTCACGAAAAAAAAACATATTATAAATTTCTAAAACGTGACCAAAATGAATTATTTTTATTTAAATATATATTTAAAATTTTAATCATTAATTATGATTTTAAATACGTAAAAATTTGCATCGACAAGTACTTAAATGAGAATTAATTAGCTTTAATTAATGATGTTTTGATGTTTTAAAATTTAATAATTGTCTTTTAAGATGTTATTAATGTCATTTTTAAGACAGGAGTTTAGAATGATAAGATGATAATGTAGAAAATTACAGATTTAAGGCAATAATACGAAGGTGTAAGATTTAAGAATGATGTAGTGAGAAGTTAATATTAAGGATGATGTGCAGTACATGATTTAGAATTAAGATGATGATGTCGTAAATTAAGATTTAATATCATCCTCATCATTATCGCCTGATCTGTGACAAATTAAGATTAAGATGAAGGTAGAGATGGTTAAGATATAAGATGATTCTGTGTATAGAAAGAATGCATTTTCTCATGCAAATAATTAAATAAAAATGCCTAACTGTAAATTACAGTCAATAAAAGAAACACAAAAGATTTACGATCCGGGATCATCCATACGTTAAGAAGTTTGAAAGAATATAAAATTTTCTGTAGCACGAAATGTTTTAATAGGGATTCGCAATATGTTTAACAAGAAATAAAAGCAGAAATTTTACACGAAAGTATCTTAAAAAGAATCAAAACCACTTTCCACTTCACATACGGCTTCGATTTTACGCTTCTAAAATTTCAGGTCGCACATATTTTATGGTTGACCAAGTTAACACTGGAGTGCACAGCAGTGCATTGCTCAGCAGTGTAGCCAGACATTAACCTAAGCACGTTCGTTTCCCATCTTCTTCTTCTTCGTGTGCCGCTAATGTCTAGAAGCCAACCTTCAACTTTCGAGGTTTTAAGTCTAAGCGATAGTAAAATACAAATGCAAATACCGATGATCATCGTAAATACAAATTACAAGTTCCCAGCTAAAGCAAAGAGAGAGAGAGTGAGAGAGAGAGAAGAGCATACGCAGAAAAACGCTTGCTCGTATTCAATGTGCCACCGCCTGTCTGTGATTTAGATCCACTATAACTGTGGCTTGGTGAGTAGCTGGTTCTCTTCTCTCTCTCCCCTTCCCAACCTTCTCCCCATCATATCCAACTCCTCATTACAACCCCATCTACTTCCAGCTTCATGCATTATGGATCGCTGTGTTTTAACGCCATGGTGTCTGTCTTTAACAAGAGCGAAAAACAGAAAATGCCGCCTTGTTGCAGACAAAGTACAAAGTTACTTAGCCTTTTCTCTCCCCTTTTTTTAGCTTTCTTTTCTTCTTCTTGTGTTTTTTATAACACCCACCCGCAGCGTAGTTAGTGCAGAGTCCAGCAGGGGGTGACCCGTTCCGACTGCCATTAAGAGAAGGCGGTTAATCGGAGAAGGAATGGTGTGACGATTGCAGCTATTACTGTACCAAATTTTCAATCGTTGTGGCTAAAGAGCCGGTTTTTATTAAAATATATGCATGCAGTATGTAATGTTTGACTGCACAGTAATCCTGTTGATAGCATCCAATGATGAAACAGCTGTCGGCTCCAAGATTTTTCTCCATTCCTAGCAAAATGATTGCTTTTTTCTTATTTAAAAAATAAAAATACATATATATATATATTCTCTTTAAATCGATTGTAATCAAAAATATTTCCACACATTTTTTTAAATTCTTACTTAGCATAAAATTCTACTTAATGTAGCATATTTTATCCACACTTTGCAAACGGGATAACGCTTTCTTACATCTGTTAAACTCGTCTCTTTTCTAACTTAAAAAAAAGAAAAAATACAGAAAAAACAATTATAAAGGACAATTTTACATATTTTAATAAGAAAAACTCTCGTATCTGTCACGATTTATCGATATCAGTAAGCCGTTCTTTACTAGAATCGTGATTTTTTTCCTCCTCTTCCACGAGTGCCACTCGCAACATCCATTGACACATCGTCACGCGAGAAGAAAAATGAAACTCCCCCCTCAAGACTCATAACTAAGAGTAGGAATGTCGCTTAGTAAGGAACAACCAATCGTTATTTTTCATTAAGTGATATTTCCTTTATCGATCTTGTGCATCGAACGTTTATCTATTCTGAGCGCGGTAGGGCAACCTTTAACAACAAGTGTTGAACCAACAATGAAATGAAAGAACCATAAACAACTAAGAATTGGATGAGGAAGTCAACAAAAGCCATTCACTTTGCCGGTTGTGAATTTGATAGGAACAATATTACTTGAGAATAAAGCTCTTTTACACCGCACCAGTCCTCGGAGATTAACGTCTGTTCCGGCAGATGGTTCACACAACCGTTATCTAGTTTGCCACTCTGACTTTATCTGTTTACACAAACTACGTTGTTTCCTTCTAGCCGTAACTCCCATGTGTCGTACAACAGTACGTCAAATGACTGATTTCTCATCTTTATAAATTGTACACGCATTGCTGGTCCTCTTAAAGAATAGCTGTTGTTTAACCTTCATTTTCTTAGTTGCAGAAATATCCTCTATACTACGACTTTTTCCAATTTGTTTACTACGTGTAAAGTTTCCTACACAGGCTACAACTATCAGTCTCATATTTCTCCCTATTAAAGGTATATACAGAATCAAGATTCGATACGTAGGGCTTCGGTTCTCGTTCATAAACAACATATTAATTGAAGAATTAATCTGTATAACGGGATATAGTTTAGGGATACATTTAGTCGATACACAGAGCTATGCGATCTTGCAACGAGGAAAATTAAATATCAATAAATTCTTTCTATATATAATTGGTACCAAGTAAATTTGGGAATTGTTTATGAAAAGATTTGGTGCCGCTTTGTATAAAAACACGCTGAATCCGAGAAATTTAATGCGCTTGAATGCTAAGTGAACTTATATTCTTGAGGAAATATTGTATTCTGCGTCGAGTTTTCTACAATATCTTGCATATAAACATTTAATAAAACTATAAAAACTAAAAGATTTCGATGTCTATATATTATCAAAATGTATTACTCATTTAAAAAGTTATATAGAGATATTAATAAATGCCAAAGTGCAACGTTAATATATGAGCACGTTGCACGAAAATATACATAAAATAGATAATGGTGTTGTTGGTTTGATGTATGAAAGGAGACGAAATAAAATAATAAAATATTTTATTTGTTGGGGGTTAACGAGGCAATTTGAGAGCCTCGACCTACGTACAATGTTGAAAAAGCGACATTGGATTCAAATCTGTTTGTTTCGGTAATTACTTAGTAATTATAAGCACTTAAACAGTGGCATCGTCACCGTGGAGCAAAACGCATTTGTCACAGCATCGCAGCATAATGATGTCAGTCTTATATGATGAGCATCGTGGGGATTGGAGAGCCAGTTATTACAGACGGACGCATTAATTAAGGCTATGACATCTCCATGACTACGGGTCAGAAATGCGGTGGACTTTGGTCTCCGCCGATACTACCACTAGATAATAGTCACCTCACTTAGTGTATTAGAGAATAGCTTTTCTTTATTTTTCTTCGATTAGATGCAACGTGATGTTATTAAAACGTCGAGGAGCAATAACCCACCCTTGCGTCATCTTCAATTCAGATCCAACAAGTTTTCGGCAATAATCCAACTCGACCTTTCAACTTTGGGCGACCATAGTTTCCTAATTTCGTATTCAGTTCGTTCTCTGGTCGATGTAATTAGGGAGTGATACCCCAGGTAGTGTCCAGGACGGTACCAGACATACTCAGCGGGTGGAGACGAGAGGGGAGGTTGAAGCATTCACTAACAACAACTCGAGATGTTCTATCCCCCGACTCGGTGAAGACAGTAGTGGTTCGACGTCAGTACCTCTCATTAATCAATGTCAATTTGACTGCTTCCATCCCCCTCTTAAACCCACCCTTCTGTTTTATCCTCTAAAATGCCAATGACATTCGCCACTTCATATAGGACACCTTGCAGTTCTGCCTTTCACTTCAATCCCACCCATGAAGACTTTGAAGACTGAATATTCTACCTTTTCCTTACTTTTTGTGGAAGACATCTTTGAGAAAAAGCACATTTCGTAAGAGGGAATAAGATTACACACGAATTTGCACAAATCTTTCTTTAAAATTTCAAAATATATTCGTGTAGCATAATTTACGAATATTTCGGTATGGCTTTAATCAATTTTTTCGTTGGTTGCAGAAAAGATTTCGAAGATTGTCACTTCGAAAGTCACATGAGAGATATTTTATTCTCTTTTCATCCAACTTTTCTCTAAATATAAATATCTTTAGCTTCTGATATCATTTTATTTCCATTTTAACATAAGGATATTTGATATTTATGATGTTCCTTCCATTCAATGTCTTGCAATCAATTGAATTAATGCCGTACTTACAATATTCACTATTACGTGATAAAGTAAATAATCACTAATTAATTAGAAATATTCTATTTTTACTTTAACATGTTACATTTGGACAATTCTTTTTAACTCGTTCGAAAAATTTGGATTAGTTTAATTTAACACTCAAATATTAAAAGATAAAAACACACGTATTAGTAAACAAATTTACTGTATTTATCTAAATAAAATTTATTTGAATGCGGGTAACTCTCCAGAAACACTTTATTTCCACTCTATATATCTTTAACATCATAATATGTCGGGTTATAATGCTTCTGGAATGTTTTCTTCTGAAAAGTTGGATTAAAATTAGTCCAATACAACTCTATAATATATATTTAAGAAGATAAAAAAAAACTTGCTGCAGGAATTGCTTTGCCTTCTTTACATCCATCCTTCTTTGTACGTCTCATTCCTGTCTGTCTCTCTCAGCTCTCTTTTCCGTTTTGCCCTTCTATGCGTGCGAATGTCAACAATACTAAGCTTCCATGTCCGATACGCCGGGATAAGATCGTAAAACTAGCAACTACAATAGCTCTTTCTATTCCAACCCCGGGTTGAAATTCTCCAGCCTAAACTGTGGGAAACAGTTCGACTTTCTGTACAAAGGACTCCAACTATTCTATACTATTATAACATTTGATTAAAATATTCTTTCGATTAAATAAATAAATATTCCATTTTATTTTACTTTCAGTACTTTTTCAAAAACGTTTGAAAAAAGAGAAAAGGTCCAGACGTAGAGTACAAGATCAATTAGAATCGGAGATGAAGAAACGGTCCCAGTATGAGGATGCTCTAAGGACAAGTTCTGCAGAAACTCTTCGTCTTTTGAATGGTACATTTTAAAATATATTTCTATTTTACTTATTATTATTTTTCTAAATTTAAACATTAAACTGTACAGAATTTATATAGTAATTAAGATAATTTTAATTCGGTTCTTTGTTTGAAGCTATCAATTAGACGTTTCCTGTGTCATCAACATCCCTACTATCAGAGTGATAATTTTATCTGATGATGACACATATTCACATAAATTGCTATTATTTCTATCTATTACTTCCTCAATAAGAATATCACTTAATAGAATATTCATAAGCGTGTTTTTTTTTATGAACTTTCCTCACATTTAAATGCTTAATTTATGTTCTTCTGTTATTTAAATGTGAATAAAACACTCGAAAGATAGAATTATCTTCAAAAATATCACTTGGAAAATTTTAACTCTCTGAACGACTGTACTTTTTGAAAGGTTATAAATCATGCTATTTAACGAGATATTGAATTTTGAAAGAGTAGAAAGACTTTAAAGACACACACACATATATATATAGAAGAGGGAAAATTTTGCGTAATCTTAAGTTTTCTTATGATGATCTTTCAGAGATGAAGATGAGTCCTACATTATCCTTATATTATATTTAAATAAGTTGAAAGCTAATTTTCGGATAGTTCCTTCTTAAACTCAGCCTTTAAAAGGTTGGAAGAAGTCCAAATTTTCCTTTGCAACCCTTTGTTTCTCGACTCAATCTGGACGTTTCTTGCTGATGAAGTAAGGAAACATTCCCATAAAAGATAGGCTACATTTTATAATCTTAAACGTCTCTTCGTCTCATAGAAAGAAGAACCTTATACCAAAGTTTTGATCATAAATACTTATTAAAACCTTACCTAGATCATAGGGGATTAGCGAAAGTAAAAAGATAAAAAAAAAATAAAGGAAAAAAAAAACAGAATATCCCTCGCTAGAACGAGATGAATAAATAAAAACTAGAGGAAAAAAGCTTTTAAATATTTAAAAATAAATATTCTAATGGCGATTTTTATTTATTATTATCGATAGTTAAAGTAAGTAACACAAATGTTGTTGTCTTACCGTCCTCCCACCTGATGAGAAAGGAATTAAAGCAGATAGGATGGTATGAATGCATCAATTATAATCCTATTACGTCTTGTCCGATGACTCCTTTCACTTCTCTCAACATTAATGACTCTCAGAAAAATTAATTTCTCAGACTAGTTTTAAAAAAAAAGAACGTTGAAAGGGTGAGAAACAAAAAACTTCAAAAAAGTATGAGGCTGAAAACGTGTTTATCTTTCAGTAGCAGGTAAGTTAAAAAGAATAGAATTGCTCGATAGAAGTAACTAAAAAGTTTTTTCAACGTCTAGTTTTCGGTTCCTTTGTTTCCAGTGATTGGAATGATCTGAGTTATACGGTCGCTGACGGTGAATTCACGGTTTTTGATTTGGTTATAACGCTTTAAGAATTTATTATACAGAGATATGCACTTAAGAGAATGGTTGACCCATTAATCTGCCGATTGTTTACGCTGCTACAATAGAAAAAAAAGGGATGGAAAAGTAAATGATGGTTAGATTATTCGAATTGTTTTCTTGGATTTTGATTGCTAAGCATTTTCATTATATTTCTAGCCTCTATTTGCCTACGATTTTTGTTGGGTCAGGTAAAGTTTGAACTATTTCATTAAGGCTCAATGGAAGTTTCAACTTCTTCATGAGTATAGAATTGAAATAATTGGTAACTTGATATATATTTTACAACAGTAATTCTTCCTTTTTTTTTATAAATTTAATCAGTAAGACTTAATTAAACTTGATCATTTTCGACAATATGATCCAATACAAAATCTATTGTTTACATTAGAGTAGATAAAGGAGTGAGAAAATAAACAACTAGTTGATATATTTGAATGATATTCTAATCATTTTTGATAGGTAAAAGTCTAATTTATTATTTTTCCTGTAATTTTCGTTTAAACTTTAATATAAATTGTAGTTCTTTCGTTAATAAGGCAAAAGAATTCATTGAAATTAATTGTTTTTGGTATGAATCAGCAAGACGGAATGAAAAAGTGAACGAGAGGATAGAGATTATTTAAATTTTTGTAATAACTTTTTAGGTATTAAAAATATTTTTGGCATATTTAAAACATAATTCTTCTGTTTATCTGTACTTTTATCCATTAAGGCTCACTAAATTAAAGTTTCTTCATTAAAAAACAGAAGAAACACGATATGTAGTTAAAACTTCATAAGATATTTTGAGCCTTAATTTGTTTATAATAAGGCTCAAAACCGATCAATTGATAAAGACTATATATAATTGCAACAAACTTCTCTGTAATAAGAAAAAAGTGAGATAAATAATACGAACTGTTCTGATGATTTTCCATAGATAAGAATATTTTATTTTTCGGTTTATCTAAATTTTGGATGGTAAGACTCGGCTGAGCTTGCAGATTTTTCGTTAATAAGGTAAAGAATCAATTGGTAAAGGGATAGAAGAAAGCGAAATGGGCCGTTTGCCAATGATTCTCAGTCAGTCTTCTCCTTCTTTTATGCAACGTCGTTAAGCAGAGAAAGTGGGGATGGAGGAATACGGTTGTTAAAAAGACACCAACCACTTCTCTGGTCTTCTTCGTCTGATTAATGCGTTGCTGTTATTCCTCGTCACGGTCGTCCCTTCGTCCTCTATATGCTTATATATGCATACAGCTCTTTAGCGTTTCGCATACACCGCAAAGTACATTCGAACAGGGATCTACATAAAGAATCGATTTCTCATTCTTAATTGAGAAATTTAATATACCTTTAAGTGCCTTACTAATGGACGGGTCGAACGAAACTTTACAGAAATTTAAGTGAGGAAAGAGTATGTCTTAACTAAGCCCTATACAAGAGACTGTTTTACGGGTCTTGCAAACAATATGAAAAATTGATTTGTTTGAGTTTTCTACTTCGTCTAGCCTTCGTTTAGCCGCTTCTAATAATTACAAAGCCTGTTTGCCTTATTCTACGAAACAAATTATTCGCTTTTTTTTAAAACATAACAATTACTAAGCTTTCTATTCAGCTTACGATATTAATTTACCCGATTAAGCTCGTCTTAATCTTGCTTTAGTTTGCCTTATTTACCCGGGTTAAGTGCCTTACTTTGCCTTGCAATATGTGATTAAGCTTGCTTTAATTTGCTTTAGTTTTCCTCATTAAACTTGCATTAATTTGGCTTATATTGCTTGATTAAACTTTTCTCGGTTTACCTTAATTTGCCTTTATAAGGCTATTCAGGCAAACTTAATAATTTGTCTTATTTATTTATCTGATTAAAGGCCTAAATAGGGTTTTAATTTGCGTTATTTGCATTTTTTTTTCTTTAGTTGCCTGATTAAACATGCCTTACTCACTTACCTGATCAAGCCTACTTACTTAATTACCTTATTTTATTTGCCTGATTAGGGCTCTCTTTCTAGTTTACAACTTTCCTGATAAATTATCTGATCAATCAAGCAAATGCCTTATTTAATTGAGTTATAAAATAATGCCTCTTTTTTTTATCCATTTAGCCTTATTTATCCAGCAAACTAACAATTCGCGTAAAGAAATTTTACAACGAACCAGCGAGTAGTATAACGCCAATTACCAAGGAAGAAATTAAATTTTAGTCACCACTCTACACCTCTAAGAGACTTGTAACCAATCTTATTTCAAAAGTGGATATTCCAAGCAACTATTACCGTGCTGCTATAGCAATAAAACTGAAATCAAAGCGTAGCTAACTCACTCCTTTACCAAGCCAAGCAATGGCACATTACTTTCGACCCTATCTCTCTCTCATTCTACATCCAAACTCGTTCGAGTACTTATTGAAAGTGGAAAAATGGATAAAGACTCTAACAACCACATACATATTTGCGTAATGGTGTATTATGGAAATCAACCACGTCAAAAATTCATGCATTTTGTTGTTGAAAACTGTCCCTCCTTCACTCGTTTGCCTTTAATAACCCCCCTTTACACGTGTTAAAGAATTGGTTAATACTCCGAAACGAAACTGTTTTTTTTTTTTTTTTTTAGTTTTTCCATTCTTTAACTCGTTTCAATAAAGGGATATATATATATATATATTTATATAAAGAATGTGCAAAGTTTAACTTGTAATCAGTTCGGGTCGCTACACCCCTCACTTTAGAACGTCAAACAAATGATTAGTGTTTAAGCTTTATGATCTCCAAATGGTTACTCTATTCTTTCTTTAATAAATACTAAGGCTATGTCGGACTAAGTTATTACACATTTGTAGTTTCCTAAAGTTCATAATGATGCCATATTTAATCTAATAAATCTTTAGATCACGAGTGTAAACGCTGTTTTTATTGTAACCTTTCTTTCTTCCTCCCATCTTCGCGTTAGAAAATTGATATAAAAATGTTACTTAAATAAATGGAAACTGAAATAAAACTTATTAAAAATCGATCGAGTGTTTTTAAAAATATCTTTAGATTCTGAAACTGACTAAAAATTAAAACTCAATATCCTAATTACTTAAATGTAACATACATTAGATTTGCAACTACAATTAAACAATTTACACGTTAATTCATCATAAATTTGAATGTAGACCTATATAATTAAGACTACTTAAAGCCATGTGTTATCAAGAGATTAGACAGTAAGATCTATTATTATTTTTTACCGGTTTTTTTTATATAATTTTTTTCCCTCATTNGTTTCATTTTCGAGTAGCATTGTTTGGTTGATAGAAAAAAGAAGAATCTTAGTGTGTGATGTCACAAATATGTTGTTATTGATTGAATGAAAGAATGAAAGAATCTTATTTAATTTAATTAATTATAATATTTTTTCTTAGAATTAATTTAAAGATACTTTCCTAGAACGATAAACGTTTGCTTGTTTTTCTTTTAATTACATAATAATCCTCAGTCCTATATTTCTTTGATGAAGCTAAGTTGGCTTCATTAACTAATAGTTTTGACCTGTAACCTTCTTTAATGAGTAAAAACTCTCTTGATACAATTCTAGACGATAATATTGATAATGTTATCTGACATGTTCTAAATCTTTTTAAAAATTATTCCATTATGGTGGCAATTTAGCAACAAGTCAGATAGATCCGTCTTTCTGGAACATAAACTAAAATCTTTCTAAGCATCTGTCAGTAAATCATCGCTATCAGAAGTAGAAAACAAAACAAGACTAGTTGAAGTATCCGCCCTGCCACCGTCATTAACCGAGTTCTTTTTTTCTCTCTTGTCTAATTCACAGAATCTTTGGCTCAAGAATTGGAGAGGGAGAGAGCCTCCAGGCCAGAGAACGAACACAAGATGCAAGGTGAGTTTTTGGTCTAACCCCACCCACTTTTTATAGCTTCTAACCCCGAGGGAGAGGGTACGTTTAGTCGAAAGTTTTTGGGCGGGTTGGCCAGCCAAGTCTAAGTACTTGTACACATCTTAAAAACAACAGTTTCGAGAAGCAGGTTGGCCGTGGAAGTAAAACTTAATGAGGTGGGTAAATGGACACAACAATACATTAAAGTCTGATTTTTACGACTGTCTGTAAAAGTCTGACAAAGGAAGCTGACCCGTAGTGTGTTACATTCCCTTACTCCGCTTCAAAAGTTAACCCCCGCTGCTCGATACGGCTCTTTATTAATGTATAAATTCTATAAAGTCTTACATCTACGACTTTCCCCTTTAGAAAAGTATATAATAGATTTATTTCCCACGATTGGGAGCTATCAAATTTTTCTTATTCTTCAGTCTGATAATGTTTTTGACAACATCCTTAAATGGTGTAAAAGGACAATATTTATAAGTCCCTATTGGATCAAACCCTCTAAGTATATGAAAGAGTTTCAATAGTTATTGAAAGGGATATTTTTTTACAAGTTCGCTTCCACATAATAAATTGTTGGCAGTCTTTTCTTTGAGACAAACTCAGTCAAGCACAACTTGATCGGTCAATAGAAATTGAATGTTGTCTTTACAGTAAAAGTCCCACTTTTACAAAGTAGCGCAGTACGATGAGGTCATTGACATCTCTTGTTCCTTCTTGTCTTTGGTGCCTGAATTTACACTGTCACCCGATAAGTGACATTAATTAAAGTCTTCTTCGTCCAATATTGATATTAATTAGTTTTCCTCCTGTTGCCTCTTACATTGACTTCTAACTTAATACCCATCTTTTTTTAATTCTTTTGTGTTTTTTTCCCCTCTTCTCGTTTACCTGAAGAAAAGTCAATCAAAAGAACTGGTATTGCCACCCTTTTTTTAATTTTTTTTTATTAAATTTTACAAAACTGTTTTTCAATCGCATCTCTTTATAATCTAACTAATGAGATTGTGTTTATTCGATTTTTACGCGCTTAGGAAGGGTGTTGATATCTGAAATTGTCCATAAAATGCAATTTATTAAAATAACAATTTGGTTTCTTCGAATGATACAAAGAGAAATAAGTAAAAAGCGAAAAAATAAAGCAAACAATAGACTTTCAGATTTCTAAAGAATGTTTTTTTTAGAAATTGAATGAAATACATAAATCAATATTCAGACATGGCAACAATAAAGTCCATCTATCGCTTCGTGTCTCATTGTTTCTCTTGATTCAGCGTACGAAATTCATTTACCCCAACTTGTGCTTTTCAATCAAGCAGACAGCCTACACAATGCATACAGGTACACACAAGAAGATGGGACAACGGCAAAGCCTGTCATAAACATTGCTAATATTTACACAGTCACGTTTCCCCCTTATTGCCATAGTAACTCGTTGCTGGTGGGTCCTCTCTGTACGAGGCTCGAGCTTCTCACCTTTCGATGGGTGGTTAGTCGGGATCTGACTCGCGGCACGTTCCCCTAACAGAACCGAGAGACGAAAAGAAACTTTACCACCCTCCTCCTATCCTAACTAGCTAACTAGTCGAGTGTGGTGTCCAGAGCTTTTGGAAGCAAACGGAAGGGGGGAAGCACGGAAGATTTACTGATACAAGTCCGGATTATAGTGGAGCGAATGAAGATGTTCCCGTTTACGACGCATCGTAAACCAACGCAAATTGCAATCAGGGTCGAAATACGACTTATGTACACCAGACTGCGTGTCAACCCCCCAAAATCCTGAATACGTTGCCACGAATAATCGGGTAAACTTTGTTATTAAACAAGGAAACTTGTAAGACGTTTATGGTCGCAGATTTGTTTTATGTGTTGCCTTGGGAGTTGGTACAGCTGGTACCGCGATATAATACCGTGCCAATCACTAGCAATTAGCCCACCTTTCGAGTTAGTTTGACTCTGTCTCGTTTCTCTGTACATCCCAACGCCCCCTCGTTCTACAATACACAGACGACGACAGGAATTTTCGACTCCCCGATTTGTTTAACTTTATTGCATTTCGACGCTGTGACATGTTACAATTACAGCCACACTTTCCTTCCAACATTAGATTGCAGTAACCTCCCTTTAGCTCATGATGTATTAGCCAATAAATCGGAACCTCGAGTGTAAACAATACTGGTTAAATTCCAAATAGCTGGAAAGCATTTATTTCTCAGCAAAGTGGACGAGTCGCATCGAATGCCTTCGTTCCACTTTTACAATATTTGTACAAACTGTACTAATTCTTTGATTAGATAATTGAAACGTAAGTTTATTCGTTTACTAGAAGGCTAATTCCTCTTCGCAAACGATCCTAATTAAACTATGAAAAATGTTCGAAATCGATAGTTTCTATCAGGACTTCTCCTTTTCTAACAACTAGAAGCAAAGATCATAAGGAATCTAAATCAGAAGAATCTATAATAGTTTCCCCCTCTATCTGCAATGTCAAAAACATGACGAGTGCCAGAAAAATTTGCATAAGGATAAAATTTCGCCACCGATATCTGAAAAGAATCAGCAAACACCAAAAGATCGATGACGATGCAAGCTCTTAAGATAGGAAAATTCGAAATTTCATACAGGATATCAGAAATTATTTTCAAAATATCCTGTCGGAAAGTTTGCTCTGTGGATGTTTGAACTGTCCCACCTTAATGCTCGGTTTATGTCTGGTAGAAGGGCCAACAAAGAAGAGAATATGTGACTCACCTGAAAGATCACGAACTTTTATTTCGTTAGAAGGTACAATAGCATCAAAGAAAATAGGCTTATAATGCATCCCCTGCTTTGACTATCCAAAGGGAGTGAGAGGAAACAAGCTGTTGGTACCAACCCCGTAACAAATTGATGATTGACCGACAAGAACCTGACCGCATCCCATACAAAGTTGGGTCCTCCTTTTGAAATAAGAATAGCCGACATGCAATGAATTCATGTTACCAAAGTTGGCTCTTTGATCTTCAAATTAAATAAAAATGATTCATTTATGCTTAATGGAGCGAAAATTATTTGTTTAAGTAAATGGCAAAAAATAGTTTGTACGGACGAACAACAAACAATATGTATAAATATATATATAGAACATATTCTTTGAAGTAAAAAGAGCCGATGCTTTAATACTTTACCGGTTTAATCTACGTTGTTCCCTATTGTAGTTCTTGTTGTTTTCAAGTTCCGGTGTGGAACAAAAACATCAGTACTTTATCCTGGAGGGTAGTTGCCAAAAAGGCGAAGACATCTACTTAATTATCCTCTTTCTTCTGCTTGGCTGTAGCCACGTTGGCACACGCGCAATTCCTTCTCCCTTTACCTCTCTGTTTTCTCCCTCCGTTCTGTGTTACATGGTAGGAAAAAAAGTCGAGTCCAGGTGTTTAATCGGTTCTTCCCGCTTCGTAGCGAAGTCAGTCCGATCTCTAAAAGGGGTGACACAATACGCAAAGGGAGACAACTGCAAAGGTGTGGGTATGTCTGCTTCTACTTCTTTTTCTTTTCCCCTCCCAATGGCAAGCCAACTCATTAATCACGGGACACAATGAAGAGATGGCCACGGACAATGAAAGAAGGGGGAAGATTGCAGGGAAAGGGAAAGAAAAAACACCAAGCCATCGGGACATCGAAATTGTAATGCACATATCGCAAATGAGTGATGGCAAAAACTCCCCTTTTCGATCCACCTCTTCCGTCGGGATCCCTTAAATTAAGTCTGGGGACTCTGTTCAGACGAGTTAGAATAGTGTTTTGCAGATAAGAAAGTTTTCTATCCGTCATACATATTTACATGGATAGGCAATTCCGAGCGGAAGATAAAGATTCCTCTGGCTTGAATCGCCGTGTGGGCGATCGGGGGGGTGGAACTTTTGCCTCGGGTCGTAGAGGGAAGGGGGTGGCTTCGAGGAAGTCGCGAGTCATCAATCCAGTTCAATATATGGAGTGCATCGGTGAGGTGACACGTGTTAAGACCGTATTCAAATTAAGTCTGCCGCCAAAGAGATGACGAATGTAATAGGTGGGCCACTGTCGTCACCCCTTGCTAACTTCCGGGGCCTCGGGCCTTCTTTTTTTCAACCCCACGCGGGAGAGATAGGCCTCGGGGTTGGAGCCGTGCCTCGTAACAAATGACGTCGTCGTTAGCTAGAAAGGACAGTATATTTCTCGGTGCTGACAATCTCTTCTCTGCTGTAGTCATTAGGAGCAGAATTGATGGTCCACCTGTCCGCCATCTTTACCGCGGAATTTTTCACTTTGGACAATTCTTCAGCTTCTCCCCGACGTTTCCTCTGCCACAACTTAATATCCTCCCATCTCCGTTCTTGCTCCGATATTGTTTCTCCTTCATTAAACCGATACACGCTTCTCTATTGATGCTCTTACAATAACAATAGAAAAATTACAATCAACTCTAATAAACGCCCGCATAAATTGACTTTTTCTGTTAGAAATTGTACTTTCTACAAAAACAACTAACTTATTTCTCTTTATTCCTACATAAATAGGCTGAGAACCCAAAGCTTTATTAATATGTTTCTCGAAGATAATTTTTGCCTTTCATAAAATGCTTTTCAGTTCAGACAGCTTCACGTTTACGAAGAAAAACAGGAGAAATTAAGTCGATTATATACATCATGTTTCTGTAAGCATCGTACGATTGATAAAAGACATAAAGCAAATCAAAGGGGTCAATCGAGCTGTTGACCTGACGATTTTGAACACGAGAACGGTTCAAAAGACCCAATTAATTTTATAAAACTGAAACTGTCCATCACAATTATGTGAATTGTATTCTCGATTCCTAAAAGAGCCCGTATCAGTACAGATGTACTATACTTTTCTAAATACAGTTTCTCTGTATAAAGGATTTTTTGAACGTACAGAACAGACTCTTCAGAAACAAATTATCATTTTCTTTTTAATTTTTCATTGCTACAAGTTTTTCTAAGCGGAGGTTAACTTACGACATTTACATTTTTTTGAAGCACATTTACCTTTTACAAAATCCTTAAATCCTTTTATTTTAGAATCACACATGCTGCCGACTAAAGTCAATAAATGGCTTTATTATTTTATCTTATTATTTTCCTGTTTCAAAGCATTAATCTCTAAGTGCCTGTTAATAATTTACTTTATTGAATTAACGACAAAAACCTGCATTAAAAGTAGAAATAGGTAATTAAATTTTCTTCACCTCATTATATTATTTAACATTCTCGTGCTTTTTTATATATATATACACCGGTATTAAAGAATGGCCACCCTGTTTATTTTGAATCATTAGCATCTTTTTTAAAAAAAAAAAAAGTATATAAATTACACTTAAATTATGGATAAAATTTTAGAAAATTATCATTTAGTTTTAAGTTAATTGCATTTTGTACAACTATGTAATCTTATATTTAATTACAATTAATATTAAGGTTTAAAATACATTTATAATTGTACAAAACTTAATTTAGATCAATAAAAATTTATCGTTAGTTGTATAATTGGGAGCATTTCTTTAATGTAAATGTCAAAGATTTCAATTGTTCTACTTAGTTTATAATCTAGATAAGTTATTTATTTGTACAAGAAAACAGTCTAAGAAAAATTTATAACTAAACTGGAAATGCTCTTTGGTTATACAATTAAATTAGAATAATATTTTGGTTATAACTTAAAAAAACAAACGTAAAAAAAATCTCTATTTTTAAACGTTATATACAACTAGAAAGTTACCTTTGTCTACTTGTTTTTCTACCCCAAAAAATAGTAATTTATTCACAAAATTACATGTTAAAAGTAAGTATAAAAATAGTAAAAAAAAATTTGGTTTTACAGATTGTCCCATGTCGGTGTAGTGGAAACTATCGAGTCATTTTCACAACATTTCCAGCAATCGTCCCGTCACAAGAACAGCCTCTTCGAAAAACCAATATCACCACCACCAGGCTGGAGTGTTTAGTGGCATCTCAGACACCTCCATTATGTAGACATATCAAAAAAACATCCCGAAAAAAAAACATGGCTAACGACATTTAAAAAAAAGAAACAAACAAATATACAAAAAAAAAAACAAACAAACTTGTACCCATTTAATCCATTGGAATATGTCAATTGTCATTACTTTATGTATTTGCAATTTGCACCTACGTCTCGAGAACGTCGAGAATAACGGAAAAACATTTTAAAAAAACACATAAAAATTCATCTAAAAACCGAAGAATGCAGTCAGAGTTCAGAGTTCAATTCTAAAAAAAAAAAAAAGAAAAAAAAATCTCTCTCCCTGCACTTTCTAGGAGTTGTCACTCGGAGAAGTAATTATATAAAAAAAATAATAATAATAATAAAATAAAATAAAAAAAATTAAACAAGAAGACCACATACCGCTTCGTAGTTGGGTTTTACTTCTCAATAGCTCACAGTTGTCCGGTACATATGTATATATATATATTATCTGGATTTATGTATGTGTGTAGTTTGTGTGTATTTGTTAATCTACTTATCTTCCCACCGCAGCAAGTTACCCCCCAGCACTTTGCCGAAGAAGAAGAGAGAAAGCTATACATATCAGGATGGTTATGAGATCTTTATGATGTATAATAGAAGCATTTACTTTAAAAAAAATTAATAATAAAAAAAATTGCCTAAATGTTATATATAAAAAAATAAAAATAAAACTCTTCGGACGAAGGGTGTGTTAGTTTGTAAGATTTGAACTGTTTAAGAGGGGAAAAAAACAACAAAAAACGCATTTAATACTCTATATAGACTTTTTAGAACGGAAGGAAGGAAGTAAAGAAAGTTGTTGATCAATTTGAATTCGTTAAAAAAGTTCCCAAATTTCTAAAAAAAAATATTAGTGATTATTATTATAATTATTATTATTATTATTATTATTGTACTTTTTTGTCCTCTGATGTTTTCCAAAAAAAAAGAAAAAAAAATGTTTTATACATAAATTGTCACTAGTTTTTGTTTGAAATGCTCAAACAGAAATAAAAAACGAGTCATTGTTCAGTCAAAATGCACAAGTTGGCCAAACTGAAACTACTTAAAGCAAATTTTGATATACTTAAGTTAAAAACAAAAAAAGAACAGAGATTTTTTAAATATGAGGTATGTAAATAACGAGCAAATAGGCTCATAAGTTCTATTATTATTATAATTTTTTCTGTGTTTATTTCCGATGTTCCCCCCTCCTGTTAGTTCGTCAATTGTCCAGAAGAGGGAACCGCCGAACGAGTGGAGGAGTGGAGATTGTTATCTCGAGAATGGTAACAGAATATACAGAAACTGAAGTAAAAAAAAAAAAAAAAAAATTGTACTAAATGGTTACGTTGAGAATAACTAGTAACACCCTAATTACTGCCTTGGATATGCTGTAAAAATATGTTACGGGAACCAACAGAATAGGACACACGACCCGTCGGGTCACGTGGTCAAACGTCGTCCCTTCCCCTTACTTATAAGGGTCTCTCGGTAACGGGAGGGAGAAATTTCTCAATTTTGTGGAAACCGGAACCTAGTCCTGGGCGCGTGCTAGTATCCAGGTGTGTAATTACAGTACTTGGAAAACCTAAGGCAATTTTCCTCCTCCTCTTTAGGCTGTTACCGAATCGGAAAAATTCTAAAAAATTAATGGAATGCTGGATTTGACAGAGTATATCCGAAAGAACAATATGGTTTGAAGGTGACTTTGTTCCAATAGGCACCACTCGAAACGAATTTATATTTAAAAAGAAAAAAAATTCGATTATTTTGTAAATTTTAAATAAAATAAGTTAGTAAAACATCCAAAAAATGAAATTTTTAGATGAAAAAATGTATCTAAAACACGCTTATTATAAGAAATTCGTATCGAAAAATAGACTTATTCGATGAAAATGTAACGAAAACTCTCATTTTTCGAACTAAAATATAATCTAAACTAAGTTTATTGGAATAAGATGTACTTAAAATTTAGTTTATTTGAAAATATTTACTATATTTTAAGCAAAGGATGTACAAAAATGATTTTTTTTTCCTCTCTCTCTCTCTATTTTTTAAAAGTTTAATGCACTTTAAAGTAACTTATTCCAAATAAAATATACTTAACAATGAAGTTTATTCGAAGTGTTTTCAAAAAACGCACCCAAAAATAAACTTAAATTTCAAAAATAAGCGTTAAAAAAAAAACTAGGGATATACTTTATCAAACACGCAAATTTTCAAACGAAACCCCGTTTATATGTATTCATTTTTTAAAAGAAATTTCATACAAGATCTTCAGTGTTTGATATCCTTTCAATAAGAACTTAAAAAAGAAAAAATTAATAATAATATCCAATTTCAAAAAAAAATATGGCCTTAACGAGTGCATGAAACAATTTCCCTATTTTTTATTTTAATCCCAAGTGCCAAGTTTTAGTTTGATAATATTTAAAATAACGAAGACTTTTGTCAAAAAAACCACAAAAAAAAACTTTAATAATAAAAATAAAAAAGAAAAATTCTAGTTGTATGTTAAAATCTGTTGTAGTTAAAAAAAAAACCTTAAAAAAAAATCCTCCCTACCGCGTATAAAAATCGGCAAAATCGCGAAAAAAATTTGTCATGTCATCTTTTTAGGTGTGTTTTTGGTGTATATAGCCAAGCTGAATGTCGGCAATGCTTGATTCTGCTTTTTTAGTCAATCTTTCTATCTATCTCCTATTATGTTCTGGTGGTTACGACACGACCGTATTTTTGTATGTATGTGTTTTTTGTCTTTCGAGAAACGAATTAAACCTCTGCCAGTTGGATATCATATTGTGTTTAGTCATTTATTTACACACCTCTTACGCATATTTATTGTGACGCGATACTAAAATATATCGTACTTTAACGGTTTAACTACGATATTTTCAGCTTATACACGTGGTTTCCAACATTAACACCTGCTACTTTCTCACATCGTGCGTTGATATATTTCTTCTTCACGCTTTCCCGGTGTGTGGCTTTTTGAATTTTGTCGGTTCTGATAGAGATTTCTGTGCAAGAATGGAAGCGGGAACTTCAATACACCAGCAAATTTCGTTAATAGAAACGGCAAAAACACGCTTCTAGTGTAGAAGAATTTATAAGAAACAGAAGCACTGTTTACAAGTACAGTCAATCGCAGTTTTTTGACACTTCTATTAAACATTTTAAGGGAGGAAACTCGAGTTTTTATGCAAAAATCTCCAACATGTAGAGATTTTTTAGCAAAAGAGAAAAAAAATCGTAGTAATTCTTCGATATTTACACAGAAATCTGTACTTAAAACTTGCACCCAAGTGTAAGAAGCTAAAATTCGACTTCCGAGTGATTGATACGCTAATTTAAGTTTATAATAGGTGAATAAACAGCTCGATACTTTATAGTAACAGGTACGAAGGATGGAAAATGGTGATGCCACTCTACTAGAGATAAGCAATGGATATTCGATAGGACTTAATAGAATTTTGTCATCATTCACTGCATTAACGTAACAGCCGGCAAAACTTGCATTAATTGATATTAATGACGTTTTCTCTCGTTCTTTTTGGGGGTTCCTTCTACCGAAATTTCCCTTTTCGATTAATTTGGGAATATATTTCAAACTGGCTCTTTGCCAGTCAATTAAGAAGGAAAGGGTAAATACTTGGTTTACTTATATATATACTCTTTTTTTTTTAAGTTCTTCTTTTCCTTTTCGGCTTGGCAAGCGAACGTGCTTTCGATTCGAATAAATTACTTATCATAAATAAAAATAACCTTCAGTCGCTCGTTAATAATCTAAGTAGTCAGGTCAATTATTCAACTGTTATTCTTTAACTATAATGAGCAATTGCTTTACTTATAGAACAAGTTTCAAATCTTTTCGCTTATATTTTAATTTAAAAACTCTTAATTTTCTTCTAAAAATTGTCAAAAATGTTATTTTTATTGGAGCGTTACTTGTAAACCTTTTTTTAAAACTTGTAAGATTTGTTTAAACTGTGAAAATACAGAAGAAATAAGCATTTTCGTGGCTCTTTTATGATAATTTCAATGTTAATTTTGGTTATTTAAAGTGTCTACTGTTTAATAGAGAAAACTTTGCTTGTAAGAGTATCTAAACTCTCCTCCATTTCTTTACTTAAATTTTAAAAAAAAGTGCTTAAAATAAAAAAATAGCAAGTAAAAATAGTCACACGAGCTATTCTTTACTTTTTCTGCTAGTTAATATGCTATTTTTGGTTATTTTAAAGTACCTACCCTTCAATTACGAACAGCAAGAGTTTGATTTGTAAATGGTTCTAGCCTTTAAAAATCATCAGAAAATACCAAAAATCATGAAATAACCAATAAAAATTATTCTCGATGTTTACATTTTTTTAATTATTTTGCTGTTTTAAGTTGTTTTATGAGGTTTATTTTTCAATTGTGCGTGACTTGCGGACATAGTTAAACGCTTTTCTTCTTTTCTAGTATCGAAAATTTTTAAATTCATGAAAATAATAATGAATTAAGCCGTAAAAAATGATTATCGATGCTTACATTCTCTAATTATTATGCCAGTTATGTAATTTATGTTTTTAAAAACGGTTATTCTTCAGTTATAAAGAGAAATGTGTCACGCATAGACCTAATTATAATTCCCTTTCATCTATAACTGTTACAAAGACAATATTTATCTTTCGAAATTATTTTCTCGAATATGAAAATAAATTTAAAAATATTATTAGTTTAATCAAATTTTCTGAATATTTTTATTCGAATTTATTTTTTTAAATAAAAACGTCATATTTAACTCGAAGAAATCAACTCACTCGTTAGATTGTTATTCTCATTAACTCATCATCATTATGTTTTAAATATTTTATAGGGAATAAAGAAGATTTCCGTACTTAACATCAATCTAGAGCGATATCAAATTCAAGAATTGTAAAAAAGAAAAAAAAATTGAAGCTGCATGTAAAAAAAATAAAGTCGTTAATTCGAGAATCCTCCCCGAGTTATTCGCTATAAAGGGGGGATTTTCTATAGAATATTCTTTCCCTAAATTGGATTGGACCTCTTTAATTTTCGTTATTGGTTTAATCTTTAATCGTCTCCAACGATTTGATGCCCCGTTCCGTTCGAGTTACTGGACAAATGATGTCGAGTAATGAAAAGGGACGTGAAGAATGATGATGTCGCTAGAAAAGGCTTAGTATGATTATGATAGGATGTCACCTCGGTGTAGACTAACCACAAATCACACCCGAGTTCGTCCGTCTGCCTTCTCACCAACCTACTTTACAGGTCTCTATGGAAAGGCAATTATAACATCTGACTTCTTGGTCAACCTGCGTAAACCGTTATCGAGTTAAATATGGCATATAAATTACTATCTTATAGAAAATAATCCTGCAGGTAATCTGTGTAAATTTATTCTCTACAAATTCTTCTAGGCCTATTAGAGAAATGCAAACTATTCCGCTTCCTTATACAAGAATTATACGGTGATAATCTGTATAGAAATGTTTGTATACAGAACGCTATAGGCCTACTGCATTAATGTTTATAGACATGTCACGTATAAAACTATGCTGAAATGAATTAGGCCTATATAAAAGTTTTATCTACAAGTTCTTGTGTACTGCAACGGACTGTATAAGCTATGTTATAAAGAGCAATTGCGTTAATCTATACAACTGTCGTCCATTAATCGGTATAAAAACTCCCCTTTACACAAATTCGTATAAAGTTGTTATTCAATAATCAGTTGTGTGTAGATCGAGAGAAGAGTTTATTACTCTCAAAGGCCTTTAGTAGGCCTAAGAGGATAATAAAGAATATTCTAGTCCAATGTGGAACATAAAATTACCTTTGGTGGCACAAATGCGAGTGCACTATTTTTAAGAAATTACAAATTGGAAACTTGTCCATTAGTTCGATGGATATATATTTTTTTTCTTTACATTTTGCTCCCTGCTAACTGAGAAACAAAATTAAAAAGAAAAGGATTTTCAGTTAACAGGAACACGGAAGGACTGAATCATCGTGAAACGGTACAAATGATAGAACGGAGAATCGCATTATAAACGGGGAAGAAAGAAACAAATTGAATTTCTCAGGTGAAATGTCTATACGACAACAATCATACAGTTGGTAGCGATGATGACGGAACCAACGGGCTACCCACTAAGTGCTGCCAACATCCTCAGCCTTAATGACATTTACCCGAAAGCAAATGGAATCACGTGACACACTTAGAATCAGACTAGGGGGAGGGATGCAGCACGTGCTCTACAAGTCAATTCAATCTTTTACCTACCAGTTTCACACCAGACGCGTTCTACAATTTAACGTATCGTTTTCTAAGTTCGTTGTCCGCTTAATGCTATTTAAAAACTTATATTGTATATTAAGAAAGAAAAAAAATTATCATTCTACAAAACGATTCG